GTTTCTTGATGAAAAGTCAGTTGATTCAGTTTCTTCTTATTTCAGGTGTGCTGAGATGTCTGCACAACAAAACTGGACCTGAAAACACTTGGTAAGAGTTTCTGTTTTTGCAGCGAGTGAATATTAAAACCCCACAGGCGTATATGGATCAGGACGGCATTTCGGAATAAATTGGACCAACGAGTTGATTTACTGCGTACAGTAAATCTACTGTACGCACACGTACAGTAGATTTACCCCTGACCTCTGCGTCTTCAGCTGTGACGGGGTAGCAAAGGCCCCGCTATGAGTGAAAGTTACTGCCGCGTGTCTTTGTAGTTCTAAAGCTAAAGACCCCTCCGCCCGTCTCCTTCCTCTGCTCCACGTTGGAGTGACTGACAGAAGGGCAGGCAGAAGCTGAACCAGTCGGCTGCAGCAGGACAAGAGAGAGCGAGACAGAGGGAGGGAGGGACGCAGCGTTAGATTTGGCGTCAGTGACAGGAGCATGTTTGGGTATCAGAGAAAGATATTTTAGGAACAAACTGTCGATGCATCTGAAACGGCACGCCAGCAGCCGTGATCAGAGGAGAACTGCATTGCACTCTGGATGTCAGGGATTGTTTTGTACTTTCAGTAAGCGAGCATTTTAGTTGTAGCTTTAGTATTGGCCGGATCAGAAAGAAAAGAAGTCGGAATGCTGCGGAGCTCCGCGATGATCCGTACTCTAGCGAGAAAAATCAGTCCGGCATTTGGCTGGAGTAAGCAGAACTCAGAGACCTGCAAATCATTTCAGCTTGCAGGTGGAACAAACTCAAAATACCCACAGCTGGTGTTCTTTTAAATAAGTGCTTACTTTGTACTGACTGTGTTTGCCAGCGTTTACTGTTACATCTCACCCATAGCTGTAAAAAAACACTGTTGAGATTCGGACAGTGCTGACCGACTTTGCTACATTTCAGGGGCCTGGTATTTGTGGCGGGATTGCGGCTGTTGTGCATTACATAAAGTATTCCCTCAAAATCTAGTTTCTGTAATACGGGAAACTCAATACGTGAACAGCGACGTGTAAAAATGCAAACCAAGCGAAGGCCTAGCGTAGCGAATGTATGGGAAGAAAATACAGTTTTATACGTTTCAGCTTTTCATCATTATAAAATTAAAATTTAGAAACATTCTGACCACAGTGAAGATTATTTACATGTTTCTTTTTTCTTTTCCTCATGTTTTCTTTCTTTCCTCTGACTCTTTGCAAGAGGCAAAGGAGGAAGGAGGCGGTTAGGGAGCTTGGTCGAATGCAGAGTCAGCTTCCCTCCTATTGGTCAACTTCAAGAGGCGACGGGAAAGCTCTTATTTTGATCTTTCAAATGCAGTGTTTGTCAGATGAATTAATTACTTTATGAAGCCATTTATTTATTTTGATTTTTAGTGCCTATTTTGGCAGGATCAGTCCTCCGTAGGAACGGAGGAGGCCCTAAAAACTGGCTAATTTATTGGAGAGACAATTATTCTGGAAAGAAATGAAGCGGAGACGGAGGATAAAGAGAGGGAGGAGGCACTGAACGAATGAAAACCCAAAAAGTCGGGGGAAGAGGCAACAAATCAGAGCGACGGAATTAGTTTGGATCGCCTCTGACTTCAGCGCAGCACCGACAGATGCCACTGAGGATTTTATTTCAACAAAAAGTTGCTGCAACAGAGAGAGATGCCGCAGAGAAGGACGAGAACAAGGGAAAGGATTAGAGTCAATAGTGAAGACGACATAAAAGAACAGCAATTAACGTTTTTCTCAAGTAACATGACAAGATGGTTAATAAAAGTAGCAGTAACTCCAGTTATTCCTGAATAGTTCTCCATGCTGATAAACATGTTGGACTTTTAGCTCCTTCAACTGTGGTTGTACTCTGCATGTGATCCTCAAATTGTTTTAGTTATCATTTCTCGCAAAAAAAAATAAAAATAATAATAATAGTCCTATCAAGATGAGACATTTTGATTTATCGTGGTATGGCAGATTTCAGTTGTGTGATCAGAAATGTTATTCCTGGCATTTTCTCCACTTTTGGTTCCACTAGAGCAGGGGTGTCAACATCCAGTCCTCGAGGGCCAGTGTCCTGCAACTTTTAGATGTGCCTCTGCTGGACCACACCTGAATAAAATAATTAGATCATTAAGGCTCTGGAGAACTGATCTACACAAGGAGGAGGTAATTAAGCCATTTCATTCCTGTGTTTTGTAGCTGTGGCACATCGAAAAACTGCAGGACAGTGGCCCTCCAGGACTGGAGTTTGACACCCCTGCACTGGAGCATCTATAAATATCAGTAAATTAAAAAAAAACCCAAAACAATTAAATGCATATATTGTACATCTCAGTGATATAAATCACATGTTTTGAAATGAGTGGCATGATAAAAAGCCTGTTTTTAATGCTTTTCGGGAACAATATTTGTGCTTGTGCAGTCACAGTCACACTGTTATAAAAAAAAACACAATTTATTGCTGACTTTTTTAGAGTTACAATGTTTATTGTCGTCACAAGATATTGTGATAAAATTCCATATCGATATGATATTTATTACTGTTGTTTTTACTTTTAGAAAATTTCATTGAATCCACCCAGATGAGGTGGAAACCTCTTCGGGGCTACACCGGGACGGACTGGCCGAGCTCGAACGGTTGCCTATAAAAAGCCTGTTTGGACAGACATAAACAAGTTATTGAACTTTTGTCAGAGCCAAGAAGCTCAACAGTAACCTAATTAGCGCATTGTTCCAGTTACAGTACAGCAGAGTTCAACAAACTCCACGTTTCTGTTTGTGACAGTGGGACGGGAAAGGCTTTCTCTGGCACTTCTACCCAAAAAGTGGACATTCAATTGTCGTTTTGGAGATTTGATGAACCCAAGATGGCAGTTCTCTTACAATGGCCTTTGGATATTTTTCCCAGCCTTAACAGCCTGCTAATTCTGCAAGGGCATTAAAGACAAGCAACGGTCATCTTCAAACCGGCTGACCGTGGCGGTCAAACCCCAACGGGGTGTTAAAGTGAGCTTTGACACTTTTCATGCAGCTTTGCTCAAAATCTGCAAGTCTTGTTGAAACTGCTATGCGCACACACATCTTTGTAAACGAACACGTAGTTTGTGGCGTTGAGCTTTTCTACCTCACTAAATGTACGTCTTGACACAGGCTCCTATGTTTGGAACACCAAGAAGGCCAAAAAGCACGCAGAGTACGTAACAGAACCACATCACAGGAGAACAACAGCCAGCAGGGATTAGCAAACACCTGGTGGAACTGCACATCACGAGCTACTCCTGGTAAAACGACGTGAAAGGGCCAACAGGAAAGCCAGGCTTTGATGACTTCCTGAGAGTAGACGTATTCATGACTGCTTTGTGCAGCTCAGGTAGTAAGCAGTCCTACATTTTTCGCGCCACCATCCGATGCGACCCCCTGCCAATCCACCCGCATCCTCTGCATTTTTGGAAACCTAAAAGTGCGGCGGAAAGCATCACGTCATATACACGTACACACAGCGATGACAGTTAAAAAGCGCTGAAAAACTCCGGTCGACTTTAAAGGTGAAGCGAAACTTAAACGGTGCTTCAGTAAACCTTTATTTTGAACTGAGACTTTATTGCATAATTTAATTTACTATCCAGCAACCTAAACACACTTTAACACAGAAGGTAAAATAAAAACCATAAGTTGCAACGATGCCACTTGTTGCCACCCTGGATGGTGATAAAGTCACTAAGTCACTATGCTTTTTCATGTGTGTGTGTGTGTGTTACTCCTGTGGTGAAAAGCATGCATTATTCACAAAGCCAGGCTGCAGGGACTCTCTCACACAGGGCAGGAAAAAAAAAAAAAACCAGAAGAGGCAAAGCTGAAGCTCACATCTGCTGAGTAGAGCTCCTCTCCTGAACTTCTGCCTGCTTCACGGAAATATATTTAGACTGACGACAACAGCGGCTGTCAAAACGGATTAAAGGCCTGATAATTTTAGCAGGTCGCCGGTGTAAAAATAGAAGGAGGAACTGTCATTTCAAACACTCCTTTGTTTAGACATCTGAGTGAGGAATTACTGCCTCCAGACAGCAGCCTGGTTTATTCTGGATGCTAAATATAGAGAATATAAAGCTTTTTCTTCTTCTTCTCCTTCTTTTTTTTTTGTTTTGTTGTTTTTTTTAACTGCATGGTGTCAGCTGTTTTCATCCCAACTGTGCTTTTAGCAAAAGCACATTTTTGAGGAGCTGAAAGGCAGAAAAAAAAGAAAAAGACAAAAAAAGGAGAAATTTGAGAAGAATTTGAGAAGAATCAGTCTGTTCCCCACTAAATCTCTCGTTTGAAAGCAAACTCATACTACGTAACTGTAACATACAGGGAGTCTCTTATAAATATTTAATCATGAGACATTATGTACTTCAGCCTCTGTGATGTAAAGGGGAATAAACAAAGGCGCGTTTGTGTCATATTTAAGTTGCCTCCACCAGCGCGCTCTGGAGGATTTGCACCATTTTAGCGCCAGATCCCGACAGCGGGCGCCGCAACGAAAGGACAGCCGCGTAAATTAAAAAAAAAAAAAAAAAAAAGTTGCGAGGAAGGAGGCTGACGGGCGTCTTGTCTCGTGATTCTGGCACACTTGGTCCAACTCTGTGACACACGGCGTCTCCGCATGCGCTATACGGACGCGGAACCGAAACTGGACTCTGCAACTTTTGCCCGGCGCGTCCCGTCGCTTATTTCTCATTCGCGATTTGGACTAAAATAAAATTCAATTCAATTCAATAATTTTTTTTTTTTAATCCGGAGTTTGTGGAGGTTTCGGGTGTTCGGCGTCTCTTCTGTACCGCTCCTGCTCCCCCCACCCTCCTCCCCGACACGCTTGTGCGGACCAGACGCCAGGCATCACCGTGGCCCCTCAGCCGGCCTGGCAGGTATAAAAAGGAGGGGGGTTGAGGTTGAGGTTGAGGAGAAGCGGGTGGGTGGTGGTGGTGGTGGGGGGAGTTAAACTTACCGCAGTCCTCGCACAGCACTCTCTCCACATTCTTCTTCAGTTCCGGCTCGCTGGCGTCCACGGGGGCGTAGGACGCCTTGAACACCAGGGGCTCGGCGGTCGGGTCCATGAAGAAGATGTACCTGTGGTCCTTCTCCACCGTGGTGCAGGGCGCCTCGGAGCCGAAGTCCCCGACGGTCACGAGCTGCTCCCTCTCGAGGCCGCCGCTGTTGACGGGCCACACATCCAGCACTCTGACATTCACGCTGTAGGGCTCGGTGGCGGAGACGTTCTCCGGGGAGGAGCGCACCTCGCCCTCGATGACCACGGCCGATCGGTACGCCTGGTCCTGGAGGGAGTTGAGGCTCGGGGCGTAGCAGGCGAAGGAGACCCCGATGACCAGCATGGAGAGATGCACCGGATCCAGCCTCATGCCGTCAGCCTGTGCTGTGCTGCAGTGCTGCTGGGCGGCGGAGCGAGCTGGAGGAGAGAGACGGCGGTGGCGGCGGCGGCGGCGGCGGCAGCGGCAGCGAACGGGCTCCGGCAGGGCAGGCGGGGCAGAGCGGCAGACGTCGTGGAAGTGTCCATGCCATCTGGGTCTGCCTCTGCTTTCCCCATACGGCTGCTGCTGCTTGGCGTCGGATGGGGGGGAGATGATACGGCGAGCCTAGGAACCGGAAACGGCCCGCTTCTGCATGCTTAAAAATGTGATTGCTGCATTCTCCTTCACCGACCACCCTCCCCTTCTTATCTCTCCGGGTTTTTTTCCCCCCTTCCTGAAAGGCAAAACAAGACTCGTAAATTAGCTTCCTCTAGAAGATCCAGGACTTGAAGCCTCTCTCCCTCTTTCTCTCTCTGTGCTTCTCTCTCTCTCTTTCCCTCTCTCCTTCTCTCTCTCTCTCTCTCTGCCTTTCTCTTCAGCTAATAGGCTAGCATCGCCTGGGTGGGCGCATTGCCTCTCTTGCGCGTACAGGGGGAATCACAGGGAATGATGCGCACTGTACGCACACGCACCTAAAAATAAAAAATATATCAATGCAAAAAAATTTAATGAAATCTAATAATCCCGCGTCTTTTCGCCCTTAAAGAGTTCCGCTGGCCCCAGAAACAAGCTAAAAGAAAAAATGAATAAAAATAAAAATAAATTTAAAAAAAGAAAGAAACGAGTAGGGGAGGGGGGATGATGTGGATGGGGGACGGGGGGAAGGGGGGACAGACGGACAGGATGAGGCGGCAGCAGCAGTTATCCGGTGAGGCGTTGCAACAGTAGCGCGCGCCCTCCATCCGCGTCCCCTGCGTCCCGCATCAAACGCGAGCGGCTGACGTGAGCAAACATCACCTGCCCTGTCACCGGCGTCGGCCCGCCACGTCCTGCGCAAACAGCCTGACAACCCGGGCGAAACGCCGGGCCCTCCGCCACCACGGACCCCGCCGGCGTGAGACCGTGGCCCCTCAAACCCCCCCTCACCCACTTCCCCTCACTCCCTCCTTTGTGGATCTCACGTTTATAGGGGGAGGGCGCGCAACAGACGCGCGCGCACGCACACGCACGCACGCGCTGCGGATGGTTGTAAGGATGACTAACGCTGCGAAACTCTCTCAATGGATCCCCCCGATGTGTGCGGAGGGGCTTCAGGACTTCATCTTTACGTTCCCGTCAGAAACACTCAAGCCCCCTCCATCTCTCCACATCTCTCTCTCTCTACCAGATGAACACGCCCCGAAATACGCGAGTCACTGCAGTTCACTCCTTCAACAGGACTGGATGGCAACAGCAACAGCTGTCACCGTCTGCGAAGCGCTTCCGCTCCTCACGTGCCTCTAATAAAAAAGCCCCGCTTTCCCACCCAATCACCACCGGTTGTGTTTGTCCGAATTCGTAAAGTTGACCTCAGGTCCAGGCCTCCCGTCTCCCGCGTCACTGAGACGCGCGGATCTCCATCAGACCGCCGTCAAAGATCGATTATTTTAATAGTTCAATACGAAAAAGTGAATCTTGCAGACATGGTCATTGGATTGAGATTGAGATAGGATTAGCGTTTGTTGAATAATAATGATAATAAATCGGATTGTGTCTTAGGTTTAATAAGTTCTGTATCCCAAAATGGGCTTGGAAAGTTGAGTGGAGGGAAAATTCTGTAATTGCGGCGTTTCCGTTAAATAGAACATTCAATTAAAGTCTCAGTCTTGTTCACATAAGTCATTAAAATCATGTCGTAAACAGATAGATATATATTCCTTTTTTAGCATTCATCATCCATCAGCCAATCAGTTGGCGTCTTATTCAGGCTTTGGCGCGACAAGCCCCGCCCACTTTGGGAGCGACTTCATCTTTTCCCGCCAGCGGTGACGCCCGGCCGTCTATCACGTGATTGCGGGGAAAGTGGTTCCGTTGTGATTCCATATATGTATATAATGTCCTCAGTAGAGGACATTTGTTAACTTGAATATCTCCCATCCACTGCATGCTACTGAATTCATTCCTTTTGGTATCTACAGAGGACATTTAGGGCTTTTCAATGATACCAAATGTGAGGGGGTGGGGCTTTTGAACCTTCCTTTTCCTCATTCAGAAAATGGCGTCCATCAGTTCAACCACATTTTATGGGAAGAGAAAAAGTAAGTGCTTAATACTTTTTTTTTTGGTACAAATATTGGTTTAAAATTTAGTTGGCAGAGTCTAAATAAGTCTCTTAGCAGGATATTAAAACAGGCTATGAAGTATTTTGACTGTATTTTATCTTAGTATTTGAAAGTTGAAAAATTGTCCTCTATAGTGGACATTTGAAGTTATTTTCTCTGTTTTGTTCTGATTTTTTTTTCTGTTGATTTTTTTAATGAAAAGAAAGGGAGTCGTTCTCAGATGCAGAAAGAATTTTACTGCGGATTATTGAAGGAGACTCAGACGTTGAGTTGTCTGATGAAGAAGGGGGAGATTCAATGTTTGAGTCTGCCTAGAACAGGAAAATTGTGCATTGATGAACAAATGGTTCCATTTACTGGTCGATGCCCAGTGTGCCAGTACATACCAGGCAAACCACATCCAACTGGATTAAAGGTGTTTGTCTTGGCTGCACCAGCTGGTCTGGTCTTGGACTTTGTAGTCTACCAAGGTAAGACTACCTTCCAAGTTACAGGAGGAAATGGCATTGGAGAACAGGCTGTTCTTCATTTGGCAGAGTCTGTTCCTCAAGGATCCCACCTGTTCTTTGACAGGTTCTTTACAACAATGAACCCCCTTGATACCCTGATGACAAAAGGGTTAACAGGAACTGGAACACTCATGAGTAACAGGGTTCCAAAGGACTGTACGATCATAGAGGATAAGACCTTAAAAAAGAAAAGAAGAGGTGAATCAGAGATGGTTGTCAGACGAAGCCCTCCTGAAGTTGCTGTCATAAAATGGTTGGACAACAAGCCAGTTGTCATGGCATCCTCTGGACACCTCAGGACACACGCAGAAGATGGTCCAAGAAAGACAAAAGATTTGTGCAGGTGTCAAGGCCACCGGCAGTTGCTGAGTACAACACCAACATGGGTGGCATGGACTTGGTTGACCGAATGTTGAGCTTCTACAGGATGGCTTCTCGCACTCGGAAATGGACAGTGCGTGCAGTTTTCCACTTTTTTGACCTGGCAATCACCAACTCATGGCTTCAGTATAAGAGTGACTGCCAGTTTCCAGGGAAGAAACCACTGAAGTTGCTTAACTTCAAACTGCTCCTCGGTGAGGAGTTAATAACTCGAGCCCAAGCAGGAATCAGAAGTGACGTCCAGACATGGTGGACGAAGCACATGCGTCAAGGTGTCACAGATCTGTCTGCACAAGCAAAACATATGTGATGTGCACAAAGTGCAAAATGATCCTTTGTGTTTCCAAGAAGGAGGAATTGCTTTTTGAAGTATCATAGCAAGGAAGTGCAGGAATTGCTCTGATAGTCACACTAATATTTATGTTAGTGTGAAGATGGACAGTTTTGTCCATGTGAAATTCATTGTTATGTTGATGTTTGGATATTTTCTTTGGGACAAACTGGTTGCCATCAAGGTTCAATTTCAAATGTATGACGTTCCGATGTCTACTGTAGTGGACACATGATATCTCAAAAATAAAAACTTAAAAAAAAAATGTTTTCAGTATTCTAAAGATTGTGGAATTTTAAAAAAATGGTGATGGACTATTTTTTTCCCCTGGTAGTCAGGAGGATAGTAAAGCAGCATCTTCATTGAAGGTCGCTAGGAGACAGTGTTTTGTGTTTGGTGATAATTTGGGCTTGAATTGCATCCACAAAACTTGGTTATAAACTCACCATGAGGTCCAAAATATAGAAATAGATAATAAAGGTTTCCTTAAAAAAATAATAATCTGAAAACATCTGAGTACATAAACACTGTAAGATCACAAAAACTTGAAATATTCAACTAACTGAAGCACAAAAAAAAAAAGAAAAAAAGAAACTACCAACTAACAATTTCATTGATAAAATGTGCATAAAGAGAAATAAATTAAGGTTCAAAAAGGGGCATCAAATGCGCATGTCAAATTAAAAGTAAAAAAAAAGAAAAACAGGTTTGGTTTATTCAACAAAAAATCAAATGAAACACAAAACATATTTATGAATGTTGGCGAGCGGGAACCGCTGCTGAGAATGACACAGCGAGAAGAAGACGACGGGAAAATAAACCCGAGTGAAATAATTAATGATGTTCCGCAGCTCATCGTCACCCCCACCCCACCTCCCCACGCAGACTCCCACGCGGACCCGCTCATTCACAAATTTCCTGTTCATGCCGCTCTCCAGCCGCTTGCACTGGGACTGTGCGGGTTCACTGTCCGCGGTGCTGAACGCCCCGAACAGCCGGCTGTCCGTGGTGCTGGAACGCCCAGCCGGCAGCCGCCAGGTGAGGCTTCGCTCCTGCTCTGCCTTTTGTCAGAACCAGGACGGAGAAGATTTCAGACACCGACACAAAAACAAAACAAAAAAAAGAAAAAAAAAAACACGAAGGCGGTCCATGTGACGAAGCCCTCAGGCGGTGCTTTTACTGCGACGTTTCAGCTTGATCTGGACCGAAGCTAACTTTCCTCCGTGGCTTTATTAAAAAGCTCAAACGTCTGCTAAGTGTTGCGAAAGCAGCGTGTGTCTCTTGAACGCAGCACAGATTCCTGCTACTTTCTTTTTTTTTTTTTTTTCCTGCCCTTCTGTCGTCTCGCGATAGAGCAGCGGAGCGGCTTGACGGGCAGTCGAGGTTGCAGCAGGCAGAGGGAGACGGTGGAAGGTAACGCAGGGAGGCAGCATCATGGCGGACAGAGACAGTGGCAGTGACCACGGAGGGCCCATCGCAGGCCCCGGCTCGCTGCCCCCGGGCGCGATGGGCGCCATGTCTCGGCTGCAGCACGACACCGAGGAGCTCGCCTCCAAGCGCGTCGACATCCAGAACAAGCGCTTCTACCTTGACGTGAAGCAGAATGTTAAAGGCCGCTTCCTAAAGATAGCCGAGGTCGGCGCTGGGGGGAACAAGAGCCGCCTGACGCTCTCCATGTCCGTGGCCGTGGAGTTCCGCGACTACCTGGGGGACTTTATCGAACATTACGCCCAGCTGGGCCCGACGAACCCGGACATGGTGCAGGATGAGCCGCGGCGGGCGCTGAAGAGCGAATTCCTGGTGCGGGAGAATCGGAAATATTACATGGATCTGAAAGAGAACCAGAGGGGGCGGTTCCTGAGGATCCGGCAGACCGTTAATCGGGGCCCCGGATTGGGAAGTGCGCAAGGCCAGACCATCGCTCTGCCGGCGCAGGGTCTCATCGAGTTCCGCGACGCTCTGGCCAAACTCATCGACGACTACGGCGTGGACGAGGAGCCGGCGGAGCTCCCGGAGGGCACCTCGCTCACGGTCGACAACAAGCGCTTCTTCTTCGACGTGGGCTCCAACAAGTACGGCGTGTTCATGCGGGTGAGCGAGGTGAAGCCCACGTACCGGAACTCCATTACGGTGCCCTGCAAAGTGTGGTCCAAATTCGGCAACACCTTCTGCAAGTACGCGGAGGAGATGCGGAAGATCCAGGAGCGGAGTCGAGAGAAGCGGGCCTCCGAACTGCTGCCCGAGGGCCCGCACGGCGCGGACGACTGCGACGACGACTGACTGAGGGTGTTAGAGAGGAGCCGAGGTGAACCAAGCAAAGTCGAAATCCGAACTGTGTGAGAGAAAGAGAAAGAGAGGGGGGCGGGAGGGGGGGGAACACACACACACACACACACACACACACACACACACACACACACACACACACACACACACACACACACACACACACGAGACTTTTAACTGTATAATAGATCGAGATTTTCCAAGGGAATCACCCCACACACACACAACCTCCACAGACATGGCAGCAGCTCCGCTGCCTCCTCGCTCATTTGACTGGATGTCACCCCACTTACCACCCATGTAACAGTAAGCCGCTGCTATCAAGGATCGAACTGTAAGATATGAACTGTTTCCTACTTGACTTAAGCGACAATGAACAGAGTGTTTATAGTCTATCGCTATCGATGATCGATTTTGCACACGTCAAAAGCTATTTCGAAAAGTAAAATGTTTTCAAACTGCGATATATATATATAGGCTATGCTAAGATTTAATCAAAGTTTAAAAAGAAGAAGAAGAAGAAACCACAGAGGTCTATTATATGAATCGACAGTCTTCATGTTGAATTAATATTTGACATCAGCACAAAGAGAATATAATGTATTATGATTTTATGAAACCAAAATCAGAAACCAGAAGATGTAAAGTTTACTTATATGAAGAAAAAAAAAAGGTACGCAGAATAAATATATATAAAAAAAGCACTCTTATTGAATAAGAAGCACCACAGGCTTGTAAACACCTGTCAGCATGTGTGTAGGCTCATGCTTTGTAAAGAAGTTGGTGGAGTAGATGATGATTTGACCGGACGCATGGTCAGCTAACGACAGTATTTCTATCATGCAATCCTGGAAAAGGTTTGAGACAGAATTAAAAAGCCCATTTGGTGGGTTGGGGGTTTGGTTTGGGTTGGGGTTCAGGGGTTTGTGTTTGTTTTTTGGGGTTTGGGGTTTCGGGGGCTCAAGCAAACGGGATAACGCTGAGCTTCTCTATCAAATATCAACTCTCTTGCACCATGTCCATGTAAACCTAAAGGAGAAAAGTGCTAACTTAGATGTACTAATTATGATTTTGTGAATCAGCTGTAAAAAAGAAATCCTTATTAAGATACCCACGTTTTCAGTGGGTAGCGTTTTTCTTTTTCTTCTTCTTCTCTTATTTGTTACTTTGTCGCTCTTTCCTCTGGATGGGGTAGGGGAGGGGGATGCAAAAAAAACAAAAAAAAAGGTTAAAAGGTCCAGTTGTGGGGGCGCAAGACGCAGAAAACAAAAAAATAACAAACAAGAAAAAAAAAAAAGAAAGAAAGTGAGACGCGTCAGCGCGCGGCGAGGCAACAGCATCCTCTCTGACGTCATTACGACCCGTGCCTTATACACTCCACTCGTTTACGTGTTCTCACATGGATGGTCCGTGACCTCGACCGTTGTATGTTTTTATTTACGAGTGTTGTTGACAGTAGGCAGAGATATATATATATATATATCTACATATATATCCTACTCACCGGCTGGGGAGGCTGCAGGTTGCTCGCCCCTGCGGTGCATGGAGCACGGCAATCCCAAAAGTCAGCTGAGAGGGACATGAGGGATGGACTGATGCGGTGGTGGGCGGTTGGAAAGGGCTGGGGCCAATGAAATTTGATGGGGTGCTCACTGTATTATGCCAGCAGGGAGCTCAGGAAACCCCTTGCTACACCCCTAGTGGTGTGGCATCTCATAGACGTAGGAGAAAGACCCAAGAGATGGCTTTGCTAACTATACATACCATACAAAAAAATGAATAAAGGATGACGAGAGCAGATAGGAGCTGAGAGGTTTGCCCCCTGCAGAGAGTGTAAATGCAGTCCAGAGGATGCAGAGGCCTATCAGCGGGGGGCCCAGGCAGTATCTATCTTTTCATGGTGCTACAGCCCTTGACGGGGTCCTCGGGACCCCTCGCCACTCATAACATGTCACTTTTGCATAATTTGTTTTATTTTTTTCTTCTGTCTTCAGACTTCATGTCTCCACGTATACATTGTCCAAAAATGTCTCGGGTTTCTCCTTCCCAGCAAGAGAAGAAGCCGCCCGGCTGATGTGGGACGTTTCATATTAGTGTGCAATATCGTGTACGTGCCAATGGTGGCATTGTATCAAGTGTACAGACTATTAAAAGAGGAAGAAAAAAAAAAAGAAAGAAGAAGATGTACAGGCTGTGTGATGGGTAGATGTTCGAAAGCACGAAGGTAGAGGTCGATGCTTCTGCGTTATATTTTCCAAATGTGAAGACTGCTCAAACTGACAAAACGTCGTAGTAAGGTCTCGTTTTCCCTTCCCGTTCTGTAAAACCGGTAGGCTGCCTTGTCTGGGTTTTATTTTTGGTGCGCATACACTAGTTTAGTGTTTTTATGTATTCTCCACCAATGAGATCGCCCCCTCCTCACTCCTCTTCGAATGCACACAATGCAGACACACAACCGCCCCTAATCCGTGTCAATGTTGGACCCCGATCCCCTCCGCGTTGGTCTCCGCTGGACTTCTGCAGCTTCTTGAAGGCAGTGGTCCAGAGGAGGCTGACAACACACATCCAGCCTCCCCCTGCTGAGGCCTCCTGTTGCTCTCTGAGTGTTTGGGAGGTCTCTAAAGTATGTTGAATGGTGTCTCGAACTGCCTCTTGTCACTAGCAGCCAGGAGGGCTGTGTGTTTGGAGTGAGAGATTGTTGGGAACGGTCGATTCAATTTGGCTTTTATTTTATTATTGGATGCACTTTTGCTAGCGGACCAGCTAAAGCATGGAGGGAGGGAGTTTCCAGTCGTTTCCAGTCGTTTGTGCGCTGAGGGTCAGAGCGTGTCCGCCGGACGTGGCTTTCAGATTCTCCTACCCAGGTCCGGTCTCTTTGTGCTGCGACCGACTTAATAACTTAAAATTGAACGCTTCGATCACAATCAGGTTTATGCAAAGCCAGTTGGCACAGAGCGGCTAACTCAGCTGATCCCGTCACATGGCTGCGGCGCAGACATGACACAGACAGGCCAGAGTAAAAAAGCGTCGGCTGCAGGACGGGTCCGCTTAGATTTTCGTTTTAAAAAGGCGGAGTTGTGCTTGATTCATCACCCTTCCGGCATTCGAGAGAGACACTTCTGATAACGCCACCTGTTTCATGTAAAGACATTTTGTTTGATGGAGAGAGAGACGGTGAAAGGCCCGACGAAGCCTGGCACTGCCCTGCTTTGGGCTGACCAGCAGCTGCCTCACAGATCCTAGCAGGACCTTTTTCTCTCACCCCGGCTTGTGAATGAGGAAAAAAATGAATAAAACGCCGGTATTTATTGAACGTGAGCCACCAATGACTGTGTGCCCGACAAAGCACATCTGAGGTCAGTCTGAGTTCATCTCGAGGGTCAAGACTCTCTGTTGTGTGGCAGCACTCGTCCTCCAAAGTGCTCTCTCCTGAGTTTGATTAAATTTAGTTGTCCCCAAGGTTCACGCAACACACTGATGACCCATAACCCCCCTGGACTCCCGGCAGCCATTAATGAGAGGCCGAACCTGCTCAGACTTTATGAAACTTGCACTTTTTTCCCCCGACACGTACGCCGTACGGGCCAGCGCCGCGGGGGGCCGTTGTGTTTTTGGTGTCGAGCGGTCCTGTTGTGAAACGTGACTCGGCCCCCTTTTTTTGGGTCGCGGCTCTGTCTCAGATTACGTGGCAAAAAGGAGGCGGAGGGGGACGCACGTGGGATTTTTTTTTTCTTTTTTTTCTGCTGATCGACTCTGGTCTCTTATTTCACGGGAGATCACACAGTCTCAAAGCGGAAAAAAACAAAACCCCAGAGTGACCTTGCAGCCATGTTGTTGCCCAGACTAGAGGGTTTTTTCTGGGGATGCAAAATGGTAGGCCGGCGTTTCATGTGCTGCTGTTTTTGAGTGTTAGTGGCCAGGCCCTGCGCTGAAGTGTGTGCTGAAGCTGTTAGCATTGATGAGGATGATGGGTTGATTAATTATACTCCAGGCGGCATCGTTTCCCGGCCTTTTCGTGTTTATCGACCGCAGCGTCTCTGTGTTGAATGAGCTTTTTATTTTCTCAAAACATGCAATGCTTGTAGAGCAAAAACAGGAAAAGTGAAGGACCGGCCTCCCGCTGGCTGTCGTTAAGATTGCAAAGTTGACTCCAGCTTTCGGTGCGCGTTGTCTGCGTCCGAACAGAACACCTCACAAGTAGGCAGGGGCCGGCTGACGGGTCCAAAAACTCGAGGTTTCCAACCCGGAACATTTTCCAGCTGCTATTGTTTTGATGTTTGAAAAACGATGCTAGAGAAAGTACCAGAGTGAATGTCTTTTGCTCTGTGGCGCTCCCCTCCCCCCACCCACACCTGTTGCTGTGCACTGTCAGTTAGATGGCTGAAAAAAAACCCAGCAGAACCAATTCAGCTCATTTAAACAACCTCATCTAATGAGGCGCCGCAAAGAAATCTCAATACAAAAAAAGCTCAAATATTCTGAGCAGTAAGCTCTACTTTTATTTCTTATTAAGTCTTTCTAATAGAATCAAAATACCAGAGGATGGGAGAGTACCAAAGATATGTGCTTCAGTAAGAGTAGCACTACTTTAATGTATTTTTACTAGAGTAAAAAGTATCCAATCAAGAAATTAGTCCGGTTAAAAAATACTAAAATACTGAGTAACTGTTCAAATTATCAATCATTTGATATTTAAAAATTACATCACCAGATGGACCGAATATAAAGTTATGTGAATTTTTTTTACCAGACCAAACTGAAAATAATTCACATCAATAACATAATTATAAAATAACATAAAATAAAATCAGGCAAAACAAACATTTTTCCAAACAAAATTCTTTCAATTGAAAACTCATGAAACTTTAACAAGAACCGCCGGTGTGTGTGTGTCTGAGTGGCAAATTATTTTGGGGGGGGTAAAAATTTTTGTTTTTTATTGAGCTGGTGGAGAATCCAGAAATTTTACTCAAGTAAAAGTAACTATACTTTGTAGAAAAGTCACCGGGGTATAAATAAAAAGTGCAGCATGTTAAGAATATTCCTAAAATTGATTCCTAAAATAGATTTCCTAAAATAGATTTTTTTTCCCCCTGAAAAAGTCACTCTACTAAATGAAACTAGTTCCTAACCCAACTTTAATATTAATGATTGATTACAACTACTGTAATCAATGTAGCACTTTTGCAGGACTGGAGATATTGGCTGCATTATTATTATTATTTTATTAGATCAAACCAATCAGATGGTCTCTCTGACTGAAATGTGGCGTTAGTGACTTTTACTGAAACCTCACCGTCTCTTACCGGCGGCCCATGCCTGCTAACAACAAACTTCAAAATCAGAAAAGAAAGAAAAGATGCAGACGACTTGCTTCTGCAAAAATAAACAAAAACTTCCAACAAGGTGTTCTCCCCCCACAACTAAATGTTCTTTGTTGTGTTTTTTGTTTTTGATGCTTATGGAGTTCCCTGTGAACAGTCAAAAATACAAAATAGAAAAACAAATAAATAAAAATCACAGCCAATCGCAGCCTCTCGTCGAAGCCAAGCACTCTGTGGGACTCATCACAAAGCCACTGACGGGTGTGGATGTGGGGGTTTTTTCTCAAAGTGGGGTGCAAGGGGTGTGGGGTTCGGGTTGGATCCATTCAGCACGTCTTCAGTTTGCACAAAGCAGTAGGGTCCATGATGTCTGCAGACAGGCGACTGTTGTGTATAGTTGTAGAGACGTTCCTTCGAGTGTCGCCATGCTGTCAGGAACGACTTCGGGTGTGTGGGGGGGGAGGGGTGAAGAGGGGTCGGGGAGTCAATGCACAATGAACATATCCCATGACACCATTTGATCCCTTTACCCATCCCCATATGAGATAATATGTTGTATCTTTCAAAAATATTTTATCTGTGGCGTGTGTGAGCGTGTGTGTGTGCGCGTGCGTGCGTGTATGTGTGTGTATATAAATATATATATATATATGGTTTGTTATATATGATGCTCCTCCTTTCAGAAAATATAACATGTAAACAGGAAAAACATCTTGCTGTTTTTTTCCTTTGTATTTTATACTTACAGAAAGCATTGAATAAAAACGGATACTTGCACTTTAGATATATTAAGAAAAAGAGAAAAAAAAATCTGCATATTATTTTTGATAGGGATCTCACGTTTAAAGAGTATAAATTACAGGCTTTGTGACTATTGCTGGACAGAGATGTATTGAGTTCTACTTACTGAAGTATATTTTGTCTGTGTGTCAGAAGGTTTACTAAAGTAAATTGCATGATAAAGTAGTGCTACACCAATTATTGTTCTGATTTTTTTCTTTAGTTGGTATAAAAAAAAAGAAAGAAGAAAAACTGTCTGAAAACTGTGATAACAACCCTCTTGTGTCATGTTTAACCTCTCCTCACCCGTTCTAGGATATTTCTTACTGAAATATGGCCTTTTCCTGACTACATGACGATGGTGCTTACTTTGGCTTTTGACATCAAGCTCATCCCATTCATCTCAACGTCATCACACCTCGCGTCCTCTCACACACACACCCACATACACACACACGCACACACACACACGCCGTTACTTTCTGTTATGTACTCTCACAACCTTATTAAATTTATGTTGATGACAAATATAAAGAAGGGGTGTGCTGTTTTGTACATTTGCTGTTTGTTTTCAATGTTTGTTTTTTTGTTTTTCTTTTTGGGAGCCTTGTTGTCTGAAAAATGACTAATCGCGCAATAAAATGTCATTCCACGTGTCCCCGTCTCCGCACAACTGTCTCCACTCTCACACAAATCGCCTTTGTGTACATGAAACTGTTTTCGGTGTTGCTTTTCCGCCGAAGCACCGTATGCAGTCAGTATCTTACCTGCGGTGGGGAACGCCGCATCGTCGTTTGATGTCCGTCTACATTGCTGTGTACCCCTCACCAGGATTTCACGGCTGTTTTCATGATTTTTTTAAAAAACTTTTTTCAATCAAAATCACTGATTCTGAGGTGTAGCTTTAGAAATATTCGTTCGCGAATTTCTTTCTCCGTATTAAAACCCCTTACAAAAAAGATGAGAAAGAAAATATCAACCAGAGCATTTACAAAAGCAAAATCTTTTTTATTCTTTAACTTCAAAATATTGAGTTTTGTTTATTTGTCATGTCGATCACAGACTGTAACTTGACATCAAGTAAGGATAAGGCAGCAGTGTCGTAGAAGTCAGAAATACTGCCACCAGAAGGTGGGAGTTGGCAAGTGGCATTTTTTTTGCAATGAACTCGAGTAAGAAGTAGCATAGAACAATGCGTGCAGTGGTTTTGTGTAAATTTCCACGACGGTGGATTGCAGCAGTCGACTCGTGTACATTGATTGGTTAGTCATAATGAACCTGATAACTTTCTCTTACATGATAAATGGAGGTAGGAAGCGGTGCACCACCTGTGATCATCCTGTGTGAAACAAACCGTCTGAAAATCGAGACATTGCAGATCTTCAAGTGAGAATGTTTTATTTTATTTTCACAACACATCATAAATCAGACAGTTACTCACAGTACAAGTTTCACGTGGGACGATAATTGGTGGCACACATCCTCTTGCCTTCTTTTACCAGGTAAATAATCACTTGATTCATGGTAAATGCAGCCGATTGCACCCCTAGCAACAGGTTAACAGTTCAAACATAGGTATTAATATTATTTTGATGTAGTCGAGACCAGAGTTCTTTACAATTGTAAAAATCAGCTAACAGTTCGCCTCCAACCAATTTGCATTCACTCCAAAAGATGATGCTCAGTCTTATCCCCTGCAGGTGAGACATTAACTGCTCGACTACCTTTGAACAGAACATCTCTTCAAACTATCCGATGCTACACCTTTAGTAAGGGCAATCTGCTGCCAATGTGCAGCTAAGTTGGACTGGTTGAGGCGACCTCGGCTCACAGCTCTGACCCCTCTCCAGTGTCACGTTTAACACAGTGCTGCGGACATGTGTGCTTTTAATTTTCACCCTGGAAATCAAAGGCGAGGGTGTCACATTGTCGCCACAGCAGGAGAGCAGACACACTGTTGACAGAGTGGCATCATCCCGGAAAGGACTTTTCTCCCTGCAACAGGTCAGTGCACCAAAAGCAATTAAAGCCGCATGGGCAGTCTGCATCCACTGTCAGCCCATTCCTACCGTCTGGAAGGAAAACGATTCATGTTCCCAGTGGAGAAGTACCGGTAACATAAATGTGGATGTGGAAACCATCCCTCATCAACCGTTGAATGACAAAAAAGTACATGCAATAAACATATCTACTGGAAAACCTGAAAAATTTAGCAAGTGTCGAGGCAAAAGTTTTGGCTGAAAGCGCTGCCATTTTTTTTCCCACTATTTTGATCATTTTCTCCTTTTTCTGTAAGTAAATACTAAATTCTTGCTCGGAATATCAGAGACATGTTGTTGGTAGCTCCTAGAATGAAAGAACGATGTTCATTTTACTCAAACACACACCTATAAAAAGTAAAACCAGAGATACTGATCATTTTAAGTGCTCTCTCAATTTTTTTTTCCAAAGCTGTAGCTCTACTTCTCTGTTTTATTGAAAGCTATTAGAATATGTTCATGTATATCGTACCTTGCATAATTACATAACACAAGGGCGGTTACTTTTTATAAAATGACTAGCATACAATGCTAAAGATGATGCCAAAAATTAGCCTTAGCCTAATTCACACCTGGATCTATGCCTGAACTATTCCAAATGTAACTCATTAACAAACTCAATAAGCAAATTACTTATTGAGATGCGACTTTTTTCAGCTTGTCTTACTCTTGAAATACTCTGAGTTTTAAGTTAAGTCTTAATTTACTTCCAAGTCGATAACTTCTTAGAGCACCAGTTACACTAGCCAACCAGAGAAGCTAGCTAGCTGGCTAGCTAACCAACCAACCCCGCCGAACTAGCTGGAGCGCGAGGTGCATTGTGGGTAATGTAGGCGACAGGTCAGGCAAGTGAGTAATGCGCAGTTATACGTCTCAAAACGATTATCTCTGGTTTGCTGCATCGTAAATTAAGTAGACTGTGTAGGAATAATTAGTGTTTTTTATTTTTTGCACCAGTTGCTATTTTCGTCTCGTTATTTTCTCACTAAACTGTGGAGACAAACTTTCTTTCAGCTTTAAGAGCCGGATTTTAAAGATGTGAAGGGATAACGAGTTTCTAAAGTAGTATTTTTTTTCAAAGTGCCGTTTATTACGATTTCAGCTCTGAGAAAGAACCAGAGCAACTTGAACCGTCCTCTCCATCACCGTGTGGTGTTGGTTCTCTCAGTGGGGTTCTGTGACGTCAGCCCATTGCTTTGGTAATGGATTAAGGTGCTTTTAACCATCATCCCTGGTACACGATGGAGGTCAACACGCAGACGTTTCACTGGTCACCATGAGACGACCGTCAGCTGAGTCTTGCCTGTTTTCTGTGATGGTTTTCCATTTCCCTTGAAGTCCCTGTGACTTTCACCTTAAAGCATTTTATATCATCTTTGCACTTCACTGTTGTTTTCCTCTCTCCAATTAACGTTTTAATCAGCGCACAGTGAGAAATGTTTAGAGTGAGCCTTGTCACTCAAGACTAACAGACTATCTGCAGCCTTTAATTTGCGAAATTAAAGGTATTAAATCAAAATAAAAAGAGGCGCTTTCAAACCATTTTTTCACAAAATGAGTGGCGTCTCTGATTGAACCCCACGCTCCGTGGGATGAATGATCTAGTTACACAGAAACAGCAGCAGGTTTGGTTTTCTATTACTCTTCTGCACTGACTGCTAAATGAATTGCTTTGTGGAAATTAGTTTTATGGAAAACAAAATAAAGAATCAGTGATGTTGGACTAATGTTATTTTTGACTATGGATTTTATTATATGGCAACAGTTTCAAAGAGGTTGAGTTTTGCTGAAATACTCACATAATCCCCTTTGAATCTTTGAGGAAAGTGATTACAATTGGGAGTAAATGTGTATGAATATATCATAAATTCATTGCTATATGCATGAACTATGTCAAAGTGTTTCCAAGGTGAAGTGAATGGATTTGATATTTAAATGTCTGGCGAGCAGCTTTAAATACAAAAGGAATATTTTGCTTCAAATTCAAATGAAATATTTTGCTGTCAAAAATAAAATAAAAAAATAGTCATTTTTAAGTAATGCATTATTTTTCTGTGGGTGACCATGATTCAACCACTTACCAATCCTCACATCGTTTCCTCCACAATGAAACAAATCAGATTATAAAGTCCTGAACGTTTTTCAGTAATCTAATTATCTGGTTTGCTGTGTTGGCGGTAATAAAGTCACACCCCAGTCATCTGTATAAAAGCTTACTTTATGAAGCACAGACTAAATATTCAGTAAATATGTCCTTTACATAGTATGCGCATTCTGTCAAAAAGTTCAAATATACAAACAAAACCAAAAAAAAAAAAAAAAAAAAAGTCAAATTCTGACACCAACGTGCCAAAGTTGTCAGTTTTTTTTCTTTTTATCCACTTTTTATTTTATCACAACCTTATTTTACAGCACAGGCCTAGACTAGAACACGAAGGTCAGCACGACAGCCGGACAAACGGACGACGCCGGGGAAGGAAGTCTCCCTGTAACGAAGCGGTTCCGTTTATCCAAACGACGTTAAAAACGGGTTGTTCCTCCTGTGGAAGCACGGCTCTTTTTCAGCAGTTTGTTTCTCAGTCTGAAAGAGAATCCAGGTTATTCCAGCCAAAGTCCCGAACGAGGATCCCGGACTAAAGTCAAACCTGGTCCTCTAAAGCGGTGGAGGCGTCCAGATCGCACGTTTCCAACGTGAATCGCATCTGGGTCGAGTGAGCGGATACCGAAGGTACTGGTCTACAGTTGTGTCATAAACAGTTCTAGTGGGGGAAAAAAACAAAAAAACATGTTTGTGTGATTGGGGGAGCTGAGGCTCAGTGAATTAAGGTGTTCACAAACAGATGTACTAGCGCATCTCCTGTTCCAACCACCGTCGTCGTCTTCCAGGAAATTCAGGTCCGTTGGGTTGGGAAAAACAAAAAAAAACAAAAAAAAAAAAAAAACAACACGAGCCGTAGATCTGCTTTGCCTGTTCTAGGAAAAAGGGACTAGTTTAAGTTTCTCAGTAGAGACCAAGACGTCGCTTCACACCGACAGGAAACGCGTTTTGATGGCTACGTTGCCGGATACCGGCGGGCTTATCGACTTAGAAACACGAAACCGGAGCAGTCCCGCTGCTCCGCTCTACAAATCGGCCGGTTTCCGTTTCCCCGAAGTGAGACATCGGCTTCAGTCGGTGCTGGATACTGGAAACAGGCCGGAGAAAGTTCTGACGGGTGATGGATCCGAGGGGGTTATAGTGCACGTTCAGTCACAAAGATAAAGGCCAGGAGGCTTTGGAGACACCCAGGCCACACGCGACCAATCAGCTCGTCGTATGAGTAGCTGATTAAAAAAAAAAAAGAAAAAGATAATTCTTCAGCTGCTTTTAGCTTCAATATCCCAACTGGAACACATTCACACACAATGACCAACATAACCTGCATTGCCCAGACATTCTGCCGCAGCGTCAAACCAAACAGTTTCTATCTCTTGAACTTTTCCACATCGTCACATCACAGCTACAGAGTTCAATGCGTTTAATCAGATTTTGAGCAACCACAATTTGAGATAAATTAGAACAAAACTACCATCTAAATCAAAATCTGGTTACAAAAGTGTCAGACATTACACAAAAACCAGATCAGCCTTCTGGTTTTCCTCATCGTCTAAGGGCCCCTCCTCTCGGACTCTAAATCCGCCTCTGCTTTTAATTGCTGTGTTAAAACTTGGCTGAATACAGCAACTGTTTTCAAATGCAGACTCAACATCTTGTTTTTATTGCTGGGAGCGGACAAAATATTTTTTCCCATTTTCCCTCAATCGAGTCTAAAAATATTAAAAAGTAGCATAGCTTTCTTCTAACAAGGGAATAAATATGCCCAAAAACAATTTGAAGTGTTGCATCCATGATCTGGTTTCTACAAAAGAAAATCAACATTTTACTTAGCTAAAAGAGGACCCTGAACGCAGCACCACAGTTAGTCTGGTAGTTTACTTCAAGGCGTATTCATGAGTTGGAATGACTGAAGTTGCTCTTCAGAGTTTCTCTGATCAATGTGACTAATCTGGATTAGAAAAAAATAAGGGGAAAGAATTAGATTTCAGAACATCGTTTACCGCCCACTTCCCAAATACACGTGAAACGCGTCGCGATTTACCGGAGACAATCCCGACGACCTGCAGCGAAGTTTGCGAGATGCGACAAGTTGCTAAAAAAAATAATAAATTTGAGAGCGTTGCAGACTTGTTTCGGTTCAGTTGGGACATAAATGCAGCAGTGAGACAACAGTTTGGAGGGTCTTTCAATCCGATCAGGACTTCTTGAAACCCGCTTTAATTTTCTGAAAATGTGAAAAATATGAAACAAGTGTTAGAGTTTTGGGCAGTTTAAGCAGTCGTTTGAGCTCTGAGCCAAAGTGCCCTGCAGTAAGGCACTAAACCTCTGTAGTAGAGCAGCTCACCAGGAACAGTTTTACCCATTTTACATCCTCCAAAGAGACATAAAAAACCCTTCTGGAAACAACAGACCTTCTCTGGACTAAATAAAGTCAAATAAATAAATAAATATGATAATTAGGGACTTTATCCTTCTGAGTTAACTCTACACACTCTCCTTGTACTGTAGGTCCATTCGCTACGCGTGCCTGGATGAGTCAAGATGAGTGAAAACGGTCCAATGCTACAGCGGTACGGCGCCTGCCTCGCTACACCCACCGACTCACTTCAGGACCAAAGCACAAGGTCCGAAAATACAAACCAGACTTGCTCTCTGACTTACTCAAAACACTTACAGTTCTTCTCCGAGCTAATGGCACTTCGACTAGACGGCTGCCCGACTCTGAGATGATTAAAAAGTAATACTGACGGTGCTGCTTCGAAGCAGAGATCACAGTTCGGATCGCCCCGAATGTGCGACAACGGGAGCCGAGAGAACGAAGGGTTCAGCAGCTTCCCTCAACTATTGCTCAAGGTCAGGATATTCATGTTTAAATGTTTAATAACATCTGGGAGGGAGCGGGACGGTTCGCCGGGAGGTGGAGGGGGGAGATCAGAGGAGCCACGAAACGCGACAGGCTAGTGACTAAACAGTGGATCCGGGGAGCCTCCCGTTCTGGCCGGCGTGGGACAGGCTGATGGACGGGGAGGAGCGCGTCTTCCGCAGGAGGCACTCTCGGCCCGCCAGCTTAGCATCCGACGACATCCAGCCGAGAATGCTTGCCTCGATCTTCTCCAGGTCATCCGTCTCGGCGTGGATTTTGGCCTGCAGGAGGTTGATGTACGTCTCGTAGCGGGTCTTCTGCTCAGACAGGGCAGGGGGAGAGGACAGAGTGGAAGGAAAACGATGCAACGGTTACAAAATACAGAGATCTGAAGTGTGTTGCGGCTTTGCAATGAGCCCTGTTTACTCTGACGACCCTAAATTTAACCGGGGTTCATACTGTAAGTCAGCTAATGAGTGAAGCTGTGTGTAAGTTTATCTCAGTACAAACTGACTGATCTGTGACGAATGCAGATCCACACACAACTGAAACCATGTCTTGAAAATTGTTATTTTCCTTCCGCTTCACAGTCGTGTGCTGCTTTGTGTTGATCTACGACCTAAAATTAATTTAAGTTCGTGGCTAAAGGACGACTAAATGTTGACCCAATACTTTTTCAAGGCGCTCAGAAAACCAGGGATTGTCACTGATCAAATAATAACAGAAATCTCTGTGGCTCCTGTTTGCTGAAGCTGATCAAACAGACGAATGGCTGAGCGCCGCAGGAGGTCGCTACCTCGTACGTGAGGTAGTGCTCTTTGAGCCGGTACTCCTCCCAGTCGCGGCTCTTCGGGTCGCCCGAAGGTTCCAGCTTCCTGTGCTCCTCCAGCTCCAAACTCGTCTGCTTCAGCTTGTTCTCGTGACTCAGCAGCTGCTCCACCTGCGCCAACCGGAGCCGGCCCGGAAAAAGAAAGAAAAAAAAAAACAAAAAAAAACGACAAGAGTCAGAAACTAGCTGCTGAAAGCTGCATTTCAAACACAGTAAATCACTTCGTACCTGGTTTAGTCTGGTGGACGAGGACGGCAGGATGGGCCGGCAGAATTTCTTCATGGACCCGATTGCGGCGGGAAACGCCGGGGCGGAGAACAGCGCCGCCACCAGGTTTATCCGGAAGATCCAGGACATCATCTCCTCCTCACTCCTGCAGAGAGCAGAGAATAAAAATGACTCGACTGGCATTTGATCAGCAGCAACAGCTTCATAAGCTTTTTCCCAGGCATAAAAAAAAAAAACTCCACAGAGCTGGTGTTAATTATTTTAACATTCATCAATATCAACACGTTAGTCCCTGCAGATGTTTCTCAGTTTCATGTCAGTCGTTTCTTACGGGGCCTGCAGCAGAAAGACTCTCCAGTCTGAGGTTTTCAGTTTCAGCACATGGGGCTTCTTGCTGTAGTCGGTGGCACGAGTGGCGAGAGCGTGATGAATCCTCACGGCGTTCTTCAGGTCCGCCTCGGAAATGTCACTGTCAGGTTTGTACTCATCCTGATAGAAAACAAAAGAGGAAAATCTATTTTATAATTAGTTTTTTTTTTTTTCATGTAAAGTAAATCCACCAGCTTTACTTGGAAGTCAAACTGAACATGTGGTCAGTGCAGGCTTCCAGCCAGCAGAGGGAGACATACACACACCATGCCCCCCTGTCTCTCAACACATATTCTACCACACACACACACACACACACACACACACACACACACACACACACACACACACACACACACAGCTGTCGCTGCGGTGGTGGATGTGTTTCTATGGCAACGGAGCAGAGGCAGAGATCTGGTACCTTCTGGAGATATAAGATCATCCCCTTTAGGACCGCGTAGAACTTTTTCCAGCCCCGCCGCCCCTTCGGAGCTGGAAGAGAAACAAACCAGAGTAAAATCTGCTCCACTAAACGGTCGGTGCATGTAGATCTCCCGTCGCCTGCGGTTCGCCGGTCGGTTCGTGGGCGCGCTCACTTCTCTTGCCGTCCATGTCGGCGTCGCTCTTGCGCGTCAGCACCCCGTGTTTGTAGGTGACGGCGTTCAGCTGAACGGGAATGGCGATGAAGGGGTTAGTGCCGTCTGTCACCCTGGCAACACGCTTGCTCCCGCCCTCACACTGTTCCTCCACTAATTCTGACAGACTCTTCCTGAGCTCCTCCTCCTCACTGCGTACACACACACACATTGAGATTAAAATACCAAGCAAAAAATTAAAAGAAATAAGCTTACATAGTCCAAAAAAATATTCTAAAAGGTAAACTCACACAGCCCACTCCAGCTTTTCATTCTTGATTGAGTTATACAAGACCTGCAACAGACAGAAGGAAAATAAATCCATTTTCTTCTCCGTTTGTTTCAGTTCTGGTGGGAAAGATAGTAATAAATAAAGAGAAATAAAAGCTTTTTGTACCTTTAATAATTCTTTAGGGAAGTCATTGCCGTTGTTGAGGCCATCTAGGTTACTAATGAACTGCTGGCAAGACATCTTCTTCCCAATGTTCTGAGGACAGCAGGAAAAGCAACATAGCAGCTTGAATCAATAAAGTTTTATTTTGAAGAGTTTTTTTTATGAAGGTGAGATCAGTGGCAATACATGCGAGAATGTAAAGATGATACATTTTCTGTGGATCACTCCACGCCCCTTTAGCTTGATTGCAGTTTCACAGCTTCCCCACTGGGTGGCAGTGCTACGCTGCTAGAGTTCAGCAGCCCATCTGCTTTCATAAAAGGCTAGCAGCTAGCAGCTAGCTACAGCAGAGGGAGTAATTATGATCCAACATGAGAGAGGGAGCTGTTTGCAACTGCACTCAAACTATCTGAACACAGATGATGAAAAAAATGAATCTCAGCTAACAACTCTACTGTTTTTAAGGAAACCGTCATGAGATTTGAATGGATTCAAACTCAGTTTTTGGTATTTAGTCATTACAATAACTGGCACTCTGGTTTATTGGTAAAACGCAATTAAAGATAAAGTTGTTTGTGGAATTTAAAAATGAAACTACTAATTCCAACATGAGTGATTAATTATAGGCTTCGCTGTAAGCTATGAAGTTTAAACTTTCACTTTAAAGCAAAGTCTGCAAAAAAATATATTAATCTGTTGCAACTGTGGTATAATCTCTTAACGGTTTAGAAAATAAAACATTTATCTGACCAGATTTATTTAGTGGGGGGGCAACAGGGGAAAGCAACTTAATAATAAAAACTAAATATAATCAGTTTTGAATCTCTTTTGTTAAAACTTGAAATTCACCAGTGGGACGACACTGTCCCATATTTCACAAGCTCCAGTGAAGGTTAGCGAAGTCCTCGCTTCTGATCGATGACTTTTTGATCCCCGCTCTCTTTTCTAGATGGCATCAAATGGTTGCTATGGATATGTGGTTCTCCCACAATGACTATTACGCAGCTGATTAATTGACTGATCAACAATATAACCGATTAATTAGTTGCTACAATAATCATGAGCTGCAGCCCTAATGTACTGCAAGTCGCACAGGATAATCGACGTCAACACTGACGAGGTGATTAGCTTGTGTGTGTGTGTGTGTGTGTGTGTGTGTGTGTGTGTGTGGGTGTGTGTGTGTCACTCTTGCCACAGCCACTTCTAAAACGTCCTCACTGTGGATATTTAACGTACAAATGTGTCCCAGTCCAGTCTGTGTGGACCGTCCTGTCACCGTCAGGGTTCGGACTTTGTTCTATTACGCAGCTACGCATCTTTCATTTACTGTCGTCTTTGCCTTTTTATTTGCAGCTTCCTGTTTTATTTTGGCGAGTACAGCTGATATGCGTTTTCGTAAGCCTTTCCCCTGCCTTGTGCTGGGTTTGGATTTTCTCAGGTTTATATGCGTTTCTATATAGTTTACCAGCTTCTGTTCTGTTAAAAAAAATTATATATATATATATATATATATATAAAGTATTTCTGGTTTAGCTTCTAGTTTAATATCTTAGAATGCTTGAAATAAGACGAAACAGACGTCCAAGTAACTTTCCAGGAAGAAAAGAGCTTGTTAAAATTATTTCACTTATTACAAGACATTTTTTCCAAAATATAAATGAAATAGTCGTGATTTTTTGTTGATATTAAGGAATTATTGACTTAATGAGCTCTTATACTTTGCTGGGAAGTGACTTGCAGGTTAGTTTTGTCTTATTTCTAGACAAAAATTTAATAAAAGGACTTAATTCATTGCTTTTCACACATCTTTACTGTGGGACGCCAACAAATGTGAGCTGTGCCTTTCTAGCTAAAAGGAGGGCAACGCGTCTACAGGGAGAGTGTTAGCTGGTAAGTATACTCACCACCTGCAGGGGCAGAGAGAGACCAGGGGCCAGATTTGGTTAGCAGGGGGAAGGGTTTGGAAAGGAGGAAAGGGAGTTGAAAAGACAGAGAGGATATTAGTCAATACTGCTAGTGAGGGTGGAAGTGAAGTGAAGAGCAGGGCGGCGGAGAAGCAAACTGAACCGACAGCGCTCCAGTTTTCACACCGCACACAGGAGACGGTTCCATTAGACGAGACATAAGCAGGTCATAAAGTAGGCCGAGGAGGAGAGAATGAAACAGCAAAAAGGATAGACGGGTAGAGAAAAAAGAAAAATGCAGACAATACATGTCAAAGACTTGCCGTCCTAACGGCAAGTCATCTCAGATAGTTTGCATCACGTTTAGAAGACTTTAGAAATCAGAAAACGCGCAGAAGACGACGGTGCGTACATGTCCATGTAGATCAGTGTTGAGCAGCATTAGCGCACAGGTCAACGTGTGGGCTCCATCTGCAAAAAGACAAAGAAGAAGAAGGTCGATGTCGGGGATCGAAGTGAGCAAAGTTGCTCTGTAAGTAAATTAAGGCAAGTCCTGAGTGTATTTAATGAGGCAGGTGGAGTCAAACCTTCAGAGGTGGGCGTCAGTGGGTTGCAGTGAGAGTAGCGTTTGGAGAAATGGACGAGGACCCGCTCTCTTTCCTGAGTTTCCCCCATCAATGGAAAGGCCTTTAAGAAGTTTCTGCAACATAAAAACAGCCTGATGAAATGAGAACTGATATTAATCTGTTCGAATGAGAACTACGACTGCTGCTACCACGAGCTGAAAACCCTACATCACGTCTGATATACTGTAGGGCTGGAACAATTAATCGGATTAATTGTGATCAATCAAGTACCGAAACAATTGTCAACTAATTTAGTAATCAATCGCTATAGACTCTTAAAATAAGCAGATTCAGAGCAGTATTTAAGCCAAATTAGATACATTTTGCATTGAGGGTAAAAAAATAAATAAAACTAAATCTTGGTCTGCAAATATCTTTTAGCTTCACCAGGTTCAGACTCACTAATCTTTTAATGCATTTTCAGTATTGAAGTGGTTAAAAGAAAAATCTGTAGAATGTGCCAAATAATGTTTATCTGATTAATTGACTGATCAACAATATAACCGATTAATTAGTTGCTACAATAATCATGAGCTGCAGCCCTAATGTACTGCAAGTCGCACAGGATAATCGACGTCAACACTGACGAGGTGATTAGCTTGTGCGTGTGTGTGTGTGTGTGTGTGTGTGTGTGTGTGTGTGTGTGTGTGTCACTCTTGCTGAGTAAGCGTTACCTCAGGGCCCGGTCAAGGGACAGGCCGGAGAAATCAAAGTAACTCAGGTACTCTGAAGCCACCAGCTGACTGAACTCGTTGCTGCAGAGAGGGAGAGAAATAATCAGCACCAGAAGGTCAACGTGACACCAGGCTGCGAAGGATGCAGCCTCTTATAAAAACATTCAAATCTCTTGAAGTTTTTCCACATTGTAATCACAAGTTTCTGCACATTTTCTACTAGGATTTTATGGAGCAGACCAACACAATGTGGTACCGATCTGTGAAATGATGGCTGGAACCAATGCGTGAATCTAAGATTGTTAAAGTCTCTTCAGAATGGAAGTAGTTTTGTTTTTGTGCCGTTGATGTGCAGTGCTGGTTTTTCACTGCATGCAGTTTTTTTTTTTTTTGCGAGCTGGTCAGAAAGTTTCACCGACCCAACAAGAGCACTTCCTTCTTTTCATGTTGTTGCGTTTATTTGAGAGAAACTAGTTACATTTACTGGAGTAATATTTTTATGTGTACTTGGAAAAATGTTTGATTTGTTGATTTTTGTGTTTTTATGATGTAAAACACTTTGAACTGACTTGTCACCGAAACCTGCTGTGCAAATCAAGTTTTATTGATTAACTGATGTAAAGTATTGCTACTCTTACTTTAGTAAAGTTTCTGGATACTCTATGAAACTGTGAATAAAGAACAACCAAATTAAAAGTTTCATAAAGGAATTTAAAAAATTGGGATTTTTTTTTTTTTTTGCCTGATTCTATTATTTTTTAATCATGTCATTTATGGGAATTATTTTCATTTTGGTCTTTAAAGTACCAACATTTCCTCATAACTTCATCTTTAAGTCCATCTGATTATGCACTTCTTAAATATTAAATGATTGATATTTTGATCAGTCACTCTGTACTATAGCAGCAAAATGCTTTTTTACTCTTCAGTAATCTCTTGGATGGCTACTTCTTACCTTAACTTGCGTAAAAGCAATGCTACTCTTACTCTACTTCAGTTTTTTGGTTGCCGTCCGTTCATGCGTTATACTGACTCACTTTTTGCCCAGGTGTCTGGCGACGTCGCAGCGCTTGAAGCCGTCCAGGTGATAAAGGCGCTTGGCCAGCCTCTTGGCGGCCTCGCTGTCGACTCGGCAGCCGTTGGCCAGAGTGTCGGTGCTGCCGTGCGCCAGACTGCCCTCCTCCGAGTCAGACGACACGTCCGACAGGTCGGCATCGCTGGGAAAGACAACACACACACACACACACACACACACACACACACACACACACACACACACACACTCAAGTTAATGAACGGGATGAAAAGAAAACAGTTTTTTACCTCAGCTCTCAGGTTTGTTTCTATGCCTTTTCCTCCGGTTCTGGGCTGACGTTGACGGGGGGTAGCATGTCATAAAGCACGGGACACAACAGGGGCACAGATCCATTCACCTCCAGTGGCAAAGCATCCTTAGGTTGGAGGGGAGACATTCTAACACTTGACCTTAGCTGTGATGCTAGCTGCACACCTGTAAAGTCTGCCTGTTCCTGAGAATGTCAGACACCAGGCAGGTTTCTGAATCAACAACTGTAAACTACGATTTTTGTGAATCTCCCATTACAGCAGGAACACACACACACACGGGTTTATGCCAAGAACCGCAAGGTGAAAACAGCAGCAGCTTCATAGTCGTAGGTGGTAACAAGACGTACGCTCATGCTGACTTCTGCAACTCCCATGAAACTGTCCTTAAGGGTAACACTCAAAGTCAAAATGAACTATTCAGCTGTTGATGTTGTGATTTCCTCCCTCACCCCCCGACAAAACGTCCAATCCCGTAAAAGCACTGAAGATGGGAAAACAAAGACAAACGAGCAGGAAAGCGGTAAATAAACACATTTGCTTGCATAACAACATGAAGAACCTTTTTTTTTGAGTAATAAATCATCATTTAGACAATATAATCGTTCCAGCGAATGGCTTGATAAGGATGAATTATAAACACATCTCCATTGAAAGTTATTTTCTGCTCGCTGGATTTTAATGGCGCCTATTAATTGTTGAGGCTCGTTTTAAACACGACAAACACATTTGAAAGCTCCTGGAAAATAAAGCATGAAAAAAAAAATGAAAAGAAAAGCCACCGACACGGTTTCAGACGTCCGGTCCCACGTTACGAAAACCGCGTACTGTTGTAAACTAAAACACAGAGAGGCTAAGCAGCTCAGTTCAAATAACCGTTTATGGGTCGGTCCTGTACTGTACACAGTTGTTACGCTGTTGTCAAGTAAACAGAGAATCAATGTGCAAGTATTAATTAGTGCCCTGCTTGTTTATTTATGACCTACCTAAATAATGTTGAGCTGCAGCCAGAGAGCATTACACACTTTACTCTGCAAAGTGCTTCACTGCTGAGTCAACCGGGAAGTGAATGAGCCTTTTCAGGGACATTTTAATAATTCAATGTTTGTATTTGATTGCCAGTTTGAAAAATGCTCTTATTTAAATTACTTCTGCACCGAGCAACTTGATTTGTGTCCCAAGAGCCTTTTCCTGGATGACACACTTGTGTTAACGGCGCTTTATTTCAACGTCAACGCCGCATGGAGCGAGCGTAAGCTGGGCGTTGCTTTGGCATTTGCTGACCAATTTATGACAAATGACACAGATTTATTCACCTCCGCTAATCTGACTCCCGTTTCCTCATTTCCTGTTAGAGCATGCCTACCGGCATACTCACCGGATGATTCAGATGTTTTTTTTTGTGTTTGTTTTTTTCCTTGCTTAATCTGATCAGCCAAATTTCATTACCGTAACAAATTCAATACATGACAGACCAGCTGATTCGGTGGCTACCATGGAAGCAGCTGACGCTAAGTAGCCTGTCCTAGCAAAACAACCGCTGAAGGCCAACAGAAATATAAAGATGGCAGAGAACGTTTCTTCCGTTTATGCGCCAATGCAAACATTGAACTTTTTCCATACGTCTATATATTTTACTGGGACCATCAAGTGGCAAAGCAAATACTTAGTTATGGAGTAAAAAGGAAAACAATGCATCATTTTCAAAATGTTTCACAAATAGAAATGAAACGTGCATTCCTCCAAATCACTACTTTGCAGTGAAGTAGTGATTTTTAACAGAAAAGAAAAAGGCAAATCTTTTTTGATGTAGAGTTGGAAAAAAGTTAAATCAAGCTAAACTACCTGATACTGGTTTGGTGAGGCAGTTTTATTTATATAGCACATTTTCAGCAGCAAGGCAATTGAAAGTGCTTCACATGAATTAAAATAAAATCAAATAAAACAAGCTAAAAGGAAAGAGCAAAAGAAGAAAAATAATCTAATAATGCTGATCCAAGGTATATAAACTCGATACTCCATTATCAGGGATGCTAGATAAATATAATCTGGTCCAATTTCTTTTCTGGGTTAGAAGAATAGGACTCTCTGCGTAATAATATAAAAAATGTTTGTTTAAATAGTGAGTACTCCAAAGTTTCTAAATATAAGCTAGAGGGTGATCTAAAGTAATGACAGTATTGATCAATCCTGTCCACTGATCCACAGGTCTGTGGTTGTAACAGGATAGAACGTTTAATGATATGTTAAGACACTTGACCTACGACCTTCATGAAGGGCCTGGACATTGATGCAAGGTTTCGCTCGAGTGTTGCTCTTCATCTACCCATTTACTTCTTTGGACTCAAAAAAAAAAAGAAGTTATTTATCGTATCAGCACATCTCCAGGGAACATAAACGGCTGTATTGCGATGAGCCGCCTCACGTAAACTCCTCCACCTTATCGTGGCGAAGCATCAGTCGCACGAACCGTGTCGTGATGGTGGATAGAGGCGGCAGAAATGGAGCGTGAGCTCAGCCTTGGGGACAGGGTGGAGGAATTTCCAGTAAGCTTGAATTAAAAAAAAAAAAAGAAAACTCACTGAAGTCATCTGATTTTTTTTGGGAGGTGGGACTTAATGGGACGCTTCCTGTGATGCTCCCGGTGGAGAAGCTCTAGACACGGGAAGCAGGGTGGAGGCCGACAGAGCGAGTCCCTTCAATCTGCAGCATGAAACCTGCAGGGACTGCTGCTGCTTATCTAGCCTTTAAATTCATATAAACTCCATCTAGAGATACAGAAACACCTTGAACTCATTGGGCCTCGGCTACAGACTCCGATCACTGGAGTAACCACAAACATGATGAAAAGAGGTCACTGCTGAGCCGGCCCTGCTCTCGCTTGTCTGACCATATTAATTCCTAAGCTTCAGAGAGACCTCATAAATCATTCAAAACTGATATCAGTCATGGGGCGAACATGACGCGCGCACACACACACACACACAAAACGATGGCGATTGGACTCAATATTAAAGAATTAGACTCAGATTTCAAGCCCAGATACTTTGAGTTGCCAGAGGCCAAGTGGTACACAGCGACGCCATTAGTACATCTAAAAGCACAATTCTGTACCCCGAGGACAGGCGTACTCATCTACCGCCGCTCAGTCTGCAGTCACGTGTGTGACTGTGTCAGAGTCAGAGAGCATGAAGAGGCACGCCTGTGACTCACATGCTAATCTTTTGCAGAGTACCGCTGGTACCTAGAAAAGCCATGCAAGGTGTGAGTGGGCGTGACTGGGAGGGTGTGTGTGTGAGGAAATAATCCTGAATGATAGGGAATTGGCCGAGTCATGCAATTCAAATGGTTTCCTTTCCCCCCCCCATGAGCAATGATTGATAGGGAAACCAGACGCATTGTGGGAAAAGACAAGCGTGCGTTTGTTACGCAATATGTTGCAGCTTGTAGAAGTGATTGTGTGGAAATGCTGCTGCAATACCAGACCTCAACATTCAAAACATGCAACACCTCCAGACTGATTTACAGAGTTGCTAAGCAGTGTTCACATAAACTGACCTTTGTTCTTTTTCAACTTGCTTCTGATCAAACCTGATGGTGTAGCATTAGATGTGGTGAATTCATAAGAATATCTAAAGTTTAAATACAAACGACTGAATATTTGATCATTTTATGGAACACTTTAGCTCCATTCTTGCTAGTTCAGATTAGTTATACATCTTGGACCAGAGGCTCCAAAAACATGCGATTAGCAATGATTTTTATCAGAATAATTAAATAAAAACCCAACAAATGCAGAGATTTCTGTTTGAAGATTTAGCCTGCAGCTCATCTGAACTTACTTTAGTTAATCTTGAGTGATTTAATAGAGATAAACATGTCATAAACCTGGATAAATAGCTCTACATCAAAATAAATATCAGCTTAGTCATACACCAGGATCATTGTGTTAAAGTCAGAAATGTTTATTCAGAGGTTATTCTGTGATCCCAGTAAAATATCAGCAGAACTACTGACTCATTTCCATTTTTTTTTTTTGGGGGGGGCATCCTATTTTTTCCCCCATGTCGCCTCCCCTCAAACCATAAACCCATCAAACGGATCTTAAGGCGAAACTCACAGGAGCTGCAGCAGGAAGTCAAAGTGAACGTCATATTCCTCCTTCCACATCGCGGGTCCTGGAAGTGAGCGGGGGAAAGCGGCCCCCTCATCCTGCAGCGGCCGGGAAAACGGGCATCGTCGTGCCGGTTTGCGGGCTTTTGACGTCAAGCTGCAAAACGATCCGCTAAGCGCCGACCGGATCCCGATAAAACACAAAACGGAAAAAAATAAAAACGCCGATCAGGATTAGCGCTGGCGGGGGTAGAGGGGGGTGTGAGGTCGGACTGCGGAGGGTTTCCTTGAAGTTTCTTGGTTGGTGTGGACTCTTCACAAAGAAGAGGATGTTGGAGGCGGAGCCGACCGGCTGGACAGACTTTTTCCTGACGGACTGCGCTGTTCCTAGTGGTGGCTTTACAATGGCCCTGTGTGTCCGGGCCAGCGCAACTTCCTCTCCGCTGAAACGTGGAGACTAGAGGCCAGCAGATCAGGTCTGCGTGTCCCGACTTCTGGATGCGGCTTGGCTCTTTCTGCACGACTGGAGGCGCATTTGGATTAAAAAGCTGGATTAATAAAAAATGGGGATGAATAATAACATCCAGTTGCGCCACTACTGCTGACTATTTGATTGCCTTCCTACATGGCCGGATTTAAATTAATAAGGGCCTTTGAGCTGGAGCCAGTTTTGGTATCCCCATCACAAAAACAAAACATTTAAAACATCTAGCAGATGGCTCCATGTTGCCCCCCCCCCCCAAAAAAAAAGATTTTTAAA